GTGTGTGTGTGGACGACTGCGTCGACGGGAACAAGCGCTAACGTTTCCGTATATGTAAAAAACGGGCGGCCCCGCCCGACCCCTCACAGCGGTAGTATAAAATATTTGTTTTATCTATTTACATGTCCGCATATTTAAAAACAGTCACCGTATGCATCGGACTGACCATCACTTTTCAATCGTTTTGGGTTTGTCATACATGTGACATTTGCATCGGACAGTTCTTCATCGGCGATTTGTGGCTTTGGTTTGCAGCTTGGATGTTCGTTGACCTTCCAATTCGGGCAGGTCGCGCCGAAATGGTCGCCGGTGAAGGCCTTGTTTATTCCCGTGACGGAGCCGCAGATGCAGGAGTTGCTTCACTCAGAGAGCCTCTCAGCTCAGGCAAGAAAACTCCAGAATCCCAAACGGTTCCGGAAATATTTTGGAGGCAGACGCTGTTAGCCCCACGCCTTGAAATCACGAGAAGCTTGGCAAACTCCTGCTGCAGCCTTGCATGTAATGTAAGGTGGTCGCTACGAGCTGGGAAGGACGCACATCTTGGCCCTCCTCTCGGACTTCGACCTCATCGACCGAGCGCTGCGCCAGCTCCCGAAGATCACGCGGCCGAAGCTCCGGAGGGACCTTCCGAAGGAGCATGGGGAAGGCAAGGCTCCGTTTCCGGTTTGGGTTTGCGGTTTAGGGTTCAGGGTTTAGGGTTTTGCGGATCTGGGAAGCACAAATGCTGAAATGGACACCACCAGGCGATGCTGAAGCTGCTGAAGAAGTTGAAGAAGATGCGCCCATGATCGTCCTGGAAGGAGGGCTCCGTACAGACTCCAGCGTGGGCTTCCCGCCGAATCCGTGGCAGTCGGAGCAGTGAGCATCTGATTTCTACAGGGTCTTCGAAATAATACTTCCCATTAACTTTCCGACACGTTGTATATCTAAACGTCTAGCCAAATCTTAAACATCTTCCTGCACGCAGAGATCGTGGATGCTGCTAGACTTACAAAGCCCTGTGGATGGCAGTAGCTCATCAGTAGCAGTAGCACATAAGAGGATGACCTGGGGGGGGACTGTGCAGGCTGCACACTTTCGTGTGCGCTCCCCAAGCTTTTGGATACGACGTCTCAGTCACCGATGTATTAAATACATGTTGTGTATACATGTATGGAGCAAGAAGCCAGTGGCAGCTAACATTCACACGGTATGTGCTACCCGATTCCAGGCTTGTAGTAAACAGTTGTGGGAGGGGACTGCGTGACTGGGCACGATTGCCTTCATCATGATTCTGCGCTGCAAGAGGCGAGACAGGGGTCACTAGGGTCTTGCTCGCCTTGGTGAACACCCTCTTTCCTGCTGCGCAGATCGTAGGTTGTAGATCTTCAGTTTTGCTCTGCACTCGCAGGTGAGCAGATGTATCCTTCAGCACAAGTCTGTGTGCCTGGTTTTTGCCTTGCAGGCTGATGACATGCATACCTCTTTCCCAAACTCGTAGCACATATTTATACGGACACGGACTTGGCCCTTGCAAGTGCACAGCCGGGAGGGATCCCTTCGCGAGGGTCGTGCTTGCCTTGGCGTGGGACCGTCACCGGGCTCATATGGCTCATCTTTCCAGAGGCGTAGACTACGACCTGAAAGAGCTGTAGCCGCAATAGCCGTAAGGATGTTCCTTTTCTGGGTGAATGTCGATGCTCCACCACCGAACGGATCGGCAACTTATTGTGCACGTCACGCTCATGCTTCTCAAAACCTGTCACGCCTCCGGGAATCGGATCTGAACCATCCCTGAAATTCACGGTTTTGACGCCAGACGCCTGAGAGCGTCGGAAGGCCATCGGAGTAGCCCCTTGCACCGGCACCCGGATGTTAGGGTCTTGCTTGCCTTGGAGACTTGGGTGCATCGGCGCAAGTGGCGACCGGTCAAAAAAATAAGCAATCGAATGACGATGCCTTTCTGAAGCCTAAAAAGGCACGTTTCGTTGCTGAGCTTCGTGATGCCGCAGCTGGTGAGTGATGAAGATTCGGACCGGTTTTAAGGCGGATATCGATGGGTCGGGTCATGCGGGCCTATCTACTAACGTGCCTGCAGGACCCCAGCAGCGAGCAAGTCTCTGCCTCGGCTTTGACTAATCTTAAAATCAGAATAAGGGTTTAGGGTTTAGGGTTTCTCAGAATCAGAATATACAAGTTCTGGTGTTGACAGGCATAAGCCCGAGCTCGTGCTGCAACGGAGTTTTGGGGGTTGCGAGCTTTGTTTCAGTCCGTGGCACTTCGGAGGTTATGAAGTGAGAGGTCCAAGAACTGTTTGGCGTGGAGTGGATAGGCCCAGATGGAAAACTTCAACGCCACAATGTCCCTCACTATCCATGCAGGCTTTGTAGTTCAACGTAAGTTCCCAACTGCTCGCTCAGTTTGAATGACAGTGTTTATACGGCTGAGCAGATTCTGGCAGTCTTTTCCATAGCCTTTTGACCAAAAGGTAACTCAACGACTTGAGGGCGGGACTTGACTCTTTGATGCCCGAATCTTTCGCTTTAAGGCTTGATGTTGTGTGTTTTCTGCGACAGTGGTACATAGCAGAAGGGAGCCAGGCACCTTGTGTCCCCTTCCAAAAAGTCACCCACACCACCCGGGCATCAGATGCAGGCCTGGAGCGTTCTTTTCGTTGCGTTGCAGCATGGAGTCCTTGCCACATTCCCAAAGTGTCCAAGTTATAGTATAGTACTGGTATATACTTTTGGGGCCCAAATACCTACAAAGCAGCTACCATCTTACTACTTGGCCTGTTTGGGATTGTAGGCAGATCCATGGATCTTGCGCCAGCTGCTAGCTCTCTAAGGTTGCAAACAATGCTGCATGACAATGTGCACCAGGCCCGGTGAATCTTTGCCCATACTCCGAAAATGGTGACTGGTTTGGGGAATCCAAGAGCCCAGAGTGTCTAGGAAAGATGGTTGTTAAGGCAGGGCTGACATTTGCAGAGCATGGGGCTACTGCTTCCTAATCGCCGGGGAGCGAGCAGGAGTCTACAAACAGGTTCCTGCAAGGGTAGTGACCAGTGTGTGGCTGGGACAGGTCAAAAACAGACCCTGACCAGCTTTTTCTTCACTGACTCGCGCCATGGTGATGAAACTCCGCAATAAGGCTTGGCCTGCCTGGGCCCTCATGGCTATGGGCCCTCTCCTCCGTAAACGCCGTGACGCGAAGCGCCGGGAGGACTCCTCAGGAGAGCCAGAGCACGCGGAGCATGCCTACGACGCGGAGAGCGGTGCTGGAATGAGGCGTCGACTGATCCTTCACGAGGCACAGCACACGGCCCCATCCGCTGATGAGGAGACACCTTTGACTACCCCACGCAAGGACTTCGTAGCTGAGTAGGTAACCTTTAAGTTTTTGGGGTGTATATATCGTCTGACCCATAATCGGAAAGGTTACTTTTTTTGCGCTGGGGTTCTCAGCCCCTGAGAGGATGAGGAAGAATTGGAAGCCGATGCTGCAGGTGGTGACGCGGCTGCCGAGGATGAGGAAGGAGGTGGGGGAGTGGAGTGGTAATATTGAGGAGCTTGTATATATATATATATGTATATACATTTTACCTTCAGCATGCATTATATTCCTTTACAATGCCCCCTCCTTTGTCAGAGAAATGCACATGAAGGTGGCGGTGGGGAGTTGTCCAAGAACTTCCGAGAGCTCATGCAGTACTCCGCTGAAGACAGGAAGGCCGAGAATTTCGTGCCGCTCGCGGGGAATATGTACCGCTACTTTGGACTGGGCATTGTGGAGGACTGGGCATAGCTTTAGGGTTTCAGGGGAAAGGGTTCAGAAGGGTTCAGGTCGGTATCCTTTAAGATCTTTGGGCGTATACCCGTATGGGCCCCATAGTAGTTCCTTTTTGGGGTTCTTTTTTAGAATCCTATAAGGTAATCCCAAAAAGGAACTACTATGGGGCCTAGGGGTATACAAGCGAAAGGCTAATAATCTTTTCCTTGGCTCCTCCTCAGCGCTCCAGAGGACTACATGACCGTTCAGTCCTTTGGCATGATGACGATCTTCTTTGTGCAGTTGCTATCCCCACCGGCCTGCCTTGTCCAGAACTTGTACAAGATGGATTGGGAACACTGGCATTTCGGCGTCAGTGATTGGATATACATGCCTGGGAGCAACAACCACGGCATCTCCAACTTATCCAAGCATGTGGTGGCCACGCTCTTCCTGATCATGTTCTGCCTGAACGGGGCCATGGTCATCGAGCAGGATCGTGTCGTGTCGATGAAGATCAGCTCAATGTTGGACCAGATCGGCAAGGATATCGCCAAAACCCTAAACCCTCGACCTCCAACCATAAACTCCAAACCTTGCACCGAAAGCCTTGAAACACCCATGATCCTCCCTAAACCTTTATGGTGCCTCCACCCCGTGGGAAGGACATGCCTGACTACTTGAAGGAGGTGAAGTTCGAATGGCTCTATGCTGGTCGCATCATGAACTGCCTTGTGGTCATCGAATGCTCCTTGGTCCCCAGCAGTACCGCTTGATCTCTCTATGTTGAACAGTTTCTATTGATTACTATTCAAAACGAATGATGCTGAAGAACTACTATATAAGGAACTCTCATACTTGAAATTGTCTTTCAGGCATCACCCGTATGAAACTTCAGCATGGGAAAAGGATACCCGAGATGATTTCAACACACCCTAAAGGCTTACTGGGAACCCTTACCCCAGGCTCGGTCATTGTCTACTTTGCCTTCGTCTTGTCGGAGACACCCATGGAGACATGGCTCTCTGTTGCTTGAGGGTCTGGAGTTTAGGGTTGACGGTTTAAGTTATAGGGTTTAAGGTTGAGGGTTTAGGGGTTTAGGGTGGCTGTT